GTGGTGAATATGATGGTGTTGATTGATATTCAGAAGATTTCATTGTACAAAGAACAAACAACTTTTCTGTCGCAGAACTTTCTTGCCAATCTAGTATATAGAATGAATTGTGCAGAAGCGCTAAGGCTCATCAGGGACTCTTCTTTTATCTTGGCCATGAGTGAATAGTGATATACCTACTGCACCACTACTTACACCTACCTCGGATTGTGGATGGCATCCTGAGCTTGTTCTTCCAAAAACGGCTGCAAATGTAATTGGTCACCATTAACTAAAAAAAAGAAAGTAAAGCTCGATTATATTGGTGATATTTCAAATAAATCCGAAAAATGTGCGAGCGACCATAGAGAGATTGAGATTACGTTATGATATAGTAGCATAAAATGAAAATCCGTAGAATACCATAGTATTGTACCACCCTCATGCACCCTGTGCTGCGTATTTGTGACAGTCATTCCAGCCAGTCCAGACAAATGATAAATAAAAAAACTTTATGTAAATCAAATTGTCTTGGAAATAGCTCGAAATGCCCACAACAAAGGTTATTAGACGACCCATAAACAAAACCAAACATTTTTTGACTTTTGTGTAGCAAGTTAGATTTCGAACAAAAAAGGAAAGGACGGAACAAAGTCCATGTATCCGGTCGATAGTCGATAATGCCCGGTACAACAGAACCATTGACCGGAGGGAGGTCACAGTTCCATACCAAAGTCGACCTCCTATTATCACCCCGGGGTTTTATCTTTCAAAGAAATGAGGTTTAGCAAATTTGACAAATAAATAGTGGAACGGTCTCCCAGCATTCACGTTGTCTAGAAAAAGCGAAGAAAAGTATTTGAACGTTGAAGCAACAGTATGACTGACCCTAGCACAGGCTTACTATTCATAGCAGAACTTCTCAAGAGTAACCTTCATTTGTACTGACTATTGCTGTTATAACAATACAAAGCGTACAATCGTCGGCTAAGAATTGGATATGGTAGAAATATACAAATGAGCTTCACATAATAATATCATCTCGTAACAACCTATGTAGTTAAATATCAGGCTAACAACTCGGTCTGCCAGTACTCGAGCAGTATAAACATAATAGCCGTATAAGTGATGCAATCAAAAAGTAGATACTATACAATAGTTGCTAATAAAGAACTGCCGCTAGCTTCTGGACACGATGTCTTACAATAAAGTTTAAATACAAATATGAAGTCTGGCAGTGTACTTTCAAATAGTCTCGTTATACGCTAACTGCTGCTATCAAGTGGCGCTCATTATTGGACATATTATCTCACAAATATATGAAAACAACTATTCCACTTGAATACTGAATCATACGCTCTGCTGGTCGAGGTTTGATAGAGCACTAATTAATAAAAGCTAAATAAGGAGTGTATGAAAGCAAACGAAATTAATAACAGTAGCGATTCTATGCTTAAAGAATTAGTAGACAAAGCAAGAGCTTCAATTACATACCGTTAACCATTCATAAAAATTCCTGAAACCCGCTTTTCAAAATAGTTGGAACTGAGAAACCAGAAGAGCGACATTATCATTGAGATCCTTGGTAGTATCGTTATAATCGTTTGTCGACTTCTGTGCTTGCGCACTAGTTGGACGTTGATTCGGTCGACGTATAGTGGGAGAAAACGATGTACGTGCACGAACGAAGTGGTTCAAACGATATGGAGACATAAGTACAGGTCCTAAATACTACAACATTTTAAGGATACTGATTCATTAAACCCACTTAACAATACTACGGAAGGCCTTTATCTTCGAAATATATGGTTCTTTTTTTTGTAACTTAACGGATACATATGCCGAAGACAAGACAGAACTTTGAAATCAAAACTTACTTGAAAAAGAAGAATTAGCGAGGGCTGAAATGCGTTCAGACCACGAATCACAGTAGGCCGTTGATGCTGTTGGATAGAAGTTGACCGTATCACCGTAACTTCCATTCCAGTCAATGCTACCGTAGCCTCGATCAGGTGCATTGTAATCTTTGGCGTAGTACGAATTGTGAGAGAATTGGGAGCGTGGTGCATGAGTAGATCCCCGAGTATAACACTTGTTCCAGTACATGCGCTGGTTGGTACGATGCGAATCATGGCGCGCTTCAGAAGTAGACTTTCTGGAGCTAGAACGACGTGGAGATGGCTGAATTGTGCCCGTGAAATCGCGCGCTTCGGAATGTGGAGGTGGTCCGCGACTGTCGAACATACCACAGTCTGTATTCCAGTCTCTGTGTGGTTCACTAAAAATATAACCATAATTGAAGGGAGTAACCACCACACAAGGAGGTTTTCAAAAACAGACTCTCAATAACGAAGTAGTGAAGAGGATTTTCTGATGCCGTTGATGTTGTAATGCTGGGAAATTCTTATTACCCCGAGAATATTTTTCTACCGAAGGACTCCCTACTGAGATATAAACAAATCCTTAGTTTCAATATTTCCCTGGGTATCGGTGGTTGCATCATGCATAACTTATTCAATGGGTTTTTTTCTTTCCGCACCTCAGAACAGGTACCCGCACCTAGTATGAATGTGCCCTTTCTGTAAAACTTTCTCTATGTTACGAGAAACGGAGTCTCATTGACATTCTTGTAGTTATTTAGCACGTAAATTAACCATAATTTTTTCTTTACCTAATCTTTCGCTCATTATTTCGCGCTATCAAATTACTATCTTTTCTGCGAAAAAACTTCAAAAACAACGTCATAAGAGAAATGACCTTTGATGGAGCGGCTAAAGTTGATGTTGAGCCCAAAGAGCATTAAAATTACTGAAGATTAGACAAAAACCCTATGAAAAGGTGGTTCGAAAGTATTAACGCTGATTGGGAGAAAGAACCGTAGACTTGTGGACTTGATTGACGAATTGCTGGGACAAGTAAATACATAATCAAGTTCTCAAGTTATGCGTTCCTCCAAAATTCTATCAATAACATGATCAGTCTTATGAATGTGGACATACAAGGTATTTGAGACTTTACAACAGTTACGAGCTCTTGCAGTCTATAAGGTGTCACAGAAAATACCGACCAGCTAGAGGAAACTCAAGGAACTCTGCGGTAGTTATGAGCGAGATACTTATAAGGGCTAATTGCAGGGCGTGGAACTAGTTGAAGTGTGCCAGCAAACATGTATTACAATATGTCGGTATGGTTCTGACCCCGAAAAAGTGAAAAAATTACACTACGTATTATAGGTATTTATCTCTACGGGCGCAAAACAATGAATATTTAATGGCTTTGCCACAATCAATTTGCCTGCAGAATTTGGAATGGAAACGATTGCGATAATACTGATAGTTGATAATTTTAACGGCCTAAAAATATGTTCGTCCACCCACCTCATGGATTCCAGCAGCGAAATTGGAGTAATGGGAAGCGAATTAACTAGTCGATATCTGGAAATGATTCCTTTGAAATTAAATCTAAAATGAAAACTAATTGAACTACAGCCATCTCCATTTTTTTCTCATAAGTAAAATGAACTCACAAATTTCTAGCGTGAACCTCGGCTTTTTCACTATTTTCAATCGTGTTATTCTGAGACTGAAGTGGATAACCGATTGAAGCTTCGCGCCTGAAAGTCTACGATTTTGGCCCTATTCTATGACAGTTGAGGCAACAAAAAGGCGCTGTTATAAAAATGAGGGTAGGTTAATTCAAGGCAGATAAACAGCCATTGAATACGCACTCCTTTTGCATTAAAGGGTTGTTCGTCGTAAAGCGAGCCCGAACAGGCGGCGAACGAACCATAGGAAGGTGTTCACTATTATTATCAAGGTCCACGTGCGCATGTTGCCAGCACGACTGCAAATGTTACCAAATGTTGGTAAGTTTGGAAGACAAGATCAGGAATCAACAAACCTCACACATATACTTGAGGCATCGTAACTGTGGACAAAAATTACGGGCTCTTGACTTTTGACATACATCACATTGCGTAAATCGGATTAGATACGGTTTCAACTCGACCTTAAACACATCGTATCAAGTCCCAGTAAGGAATACTCAGAGAATACCAATCAGTAGTCTTAGCAGCTAAATTAGGAATTCTTAGTCTCAATAATACTGCCAGCTAGGGTGGTTGTAAACGAAAATTCGAAAATTCCTACATAAGTGGGTGGCATAATTATGACTCCAGCCATGTGAAAATGGCACCGGCCCAATCAGTCGGTTAACAAAATGTATATAACACAATATCAACAAATACAAATACAAAACACAAGTAATCATAATTATAAATTCGCGGGTAAGGCACTGTTCCTTCTACAGACAAAATTTAAGCGAGAGGAATTTCATTTCGAGGTGTAAAAGTTGAAAAATAAATAACATGGACAAATGATTGAGCAATATATAACCACACGTAGATAAAGGCTCTCACCTTTTTGAAACACTCTGTGAACTTAAAACCTGCAAAACGACGTGCGATTGCCACCAAAAATGAATCACGATCACGAAATACGACACATCCCGCACCTTTTGGATAATCCGTCTCCAATTCGACCTAAAAGAATGCAGGCTCGCGTGCGAATCAACCTGATTAAGTCTGTTTTTTTTTGTCTTCTGCTTCCTATAGCTAGTGGCTTCATCATAAATTTCTTATAGTAAACGGTGGGGTCTCGGCATTTAGGTGAAATATGGGAGTGTGGGTGTACTCCACCTTATATCAACGGTGGAACACTTTACTAGATGGTGTAGGATACGAAGGGGCCGAAGGTGATTGGTGACAAGGACTGATAACTAACGAGCAATTACTGACAAGGAGCATATGTAGAAGGCTAGATCGAATAGGTTCGTTATCCCTTTCATGTCAACAGCCATACCTTAGCATTCAAACAATGTTCTTTGATATTTTTCATTCAATAAGACAAGTAAATGCAGTGATAGGAACCGATCAAAGGCAATTCTCCATAACGAGATGAAAATTTGGTTTATTTTTCGCTGTTGGACTACAACCGCAATCCAGCAAGGTTTCTGACTCAATGACACATC